CTGTTGCATACTTCTCACTACACTCAAGCTAAATCAACATCAACTTGTCATTTCCTTGAGTTTCCTTCGCCTAACAGCTGGGTCCACTTATGCAAGTTTAACGGCTGTGCTTTCAGCACTTTTTCATGAAAATGAGTGACCTTGGTTTCTGCACAAATCGGAACACGATTGGAGCCGATTACATTTTTCCACACCTGAAACATTGTATTCGCATCCAAGGTCAGCGACTCTACGAATTGGGTAAATTTTCTTTTGCATTCTTGCGAAGCAAGGTTTTGCTCCATCAAGTAGGTCGAGGTGGAACATGACTTCTTGAAAGCTGATATGGTGGTTCTCGTTCTCTTGTCACGTTTTTTCAAGATACTCCGAGTGTTACACAGGTTGAATACGAGTAGACCAACTTGAGCTTTCAAACTGGATCTTGTTAGTATGAGGACAGGGAAAAATAGCATTTTAAAATGCAGATTGACAGTGGCGCCCAGGTCCGAGTCCCTTATATGAGACCATAGACGAGACTGATCCAGCTTGGCACCGATCATACCAGCCAGCACCAACGATACTTGAGGAAATCCTTCGGTGATTTTGCTCAGAGAGGGCAAAGATTGGCGGAATTGGCTTGTGGAAGGTGAATTACGTAGACCATAGATATCCCTCATTGCAATCAAATTTCGCCTATAATCATCAGAACCGGTCCACTCTTCGATAACTCGATCGATGTTACCATATCCAAAGGTATAATACGCGCTTATCAAACGAAGTATGTCTTCAAGTAGATCCCTACCATGTATTTGTGCTTTCTCCAGCATTAATTCGTTCATCAGCTTATACTGGAATCCTGGCAACTTGGGTCGCTCCTCTCGAGTAACTTGAACACGATTGAATTCCATTACTGACAAAAAAAGTTGGAATTTTTAATAAAGAATAACCGAAGGCACTGTGAAAAAAAAGTTTTTCAGCAGTAGGTGCATCAGCTTGTTACTTCTACTTTTAATCACCACTTGGTTTTTAATTTTATATTCCTAAGAAAATTCAAATAGTGCATCTAATACGAGGTGCAATATAATACAAATTCAAGTTTCATTGCTCTCGTTTGTCTAATCAACCCCTGATTTTGGATAATGGTGGATCCAGAGAGGGAGAGGAAAATATTCCCCTCCAAAACGTTGAAAAATTAAGAAAAAAAATCATTTCTATTGAAGTTTCAAACAAATGAGCAACGAAACAAAGGCTCAACAGCTTGGAAAAATCCTTCAAAGTCCCCCTCCCCCCAAATGGTGCTTCTGATCCACCCCGGATTTTAGAGTTACAAGCTAAAACCTACTGAGAAACTTTTTTAGGCATCCCTACTTTTTGAGGGATTGAAATTATTTTGATAGTAAAATGGTATCAACATTCGAACCTACAAAATTTCAACAATTGGTGGCATACTAACATGAGCAGAAAATCAGAAATGGGTAGGTATAACAATAATGCGGATGGCACACAAGACATTTTTTCAACTGAAAGGGTTCATGTCTACTCAACGTCTCCTTAAAGTTTTCAAAAGATTTTTAAACTGCAAATTTTAAAATTCATGACAGAGCACCATACAGGAATATCGATTCTACAAAACATTCCTTCACGTTCAAGTGTCAAGTCTCAAATTGAATTTACTCCCACATTCCAACTCCTAAAACTTGATTCTACTGAAAGCACTTTTTTTTTTGTTACATGGGACTAATCAACTAAAAGCATCCTACATGATGGAATTTTTTACAAATTTCAGGCATCTGAAACTTCCTACAGTATTTCCAAGATAAATAGTTCTTCGTTATTTCCCAAAACTTAGTTTCTGAGACATGTTCAAATTACATACGTACAAATACATCATTCGTTAAAAAATTCTTGAATTAGTCTAGATACGTACCGATTTTCTTACTCCAAGTTTACAATATATGATTTCTCTCGACTAATGGACAATGTTACAGATCTAACCCACGGAAAATCCACGCATAAAATAAATATTCAAAATACGTCGAGCAAATTAAAAATGTATTGCAAGAGTCAACGTCACCACTTAGCAGGATTCGACAGGAATGGAAATAATTCGGCACGCATTTCGTCTTATCTCCACATGGCAGGCTCAAATAATCGACTTCATTGTACTTTGGCTAACTTGCCTAATGCTCTATCTGAACGTGTCTGTCTAGCATTATAACGCTGAAATCTGACGAACTGTAAGTTTGATTAAGGCACATCTCTGAAACTCATTGGGATCAGAAAAATTTCCGAAAAGAGGAGGGAGAAAGATGTGAGTAGAACTCGTTAGGTGCTCGTTTTAAATTCAACAACATTTTTTCATTATGTATCAAAATGCCATTTTTCATTTCAAATAATTTTTCACAAGAAATTATCTTTAATGCGAAATAAAATTTCCTTACCATTTAGTACGCAGACTCTTCATTAAATACCTAATTTCATTCTAATGAAGTCTTGAAAATTGTAGAGTCACACTCTCGCTGCTTTTCCAGGCTACAAAAATAATAGATGTCTACTGAATATTTTGTAAGAATTATCAAGGAGCTGTCAACTCGCAGCACAAATTAAATTTTAAGAAAATAATAAATCGTTATGAACTCACAAAAAGCTTGAGACTATAATATTCAGAAGCAGATCCAGAGAACCATTTGGGGGGGGGGAGGAATTAGAGAATTTTCAAATTATTGACTCTTCATTCTTTTTGCTCGTAAGCACAAAAATGTGAAAAATGCAGTTTTTCCATTATGAAAGGGGAAATTTCCACCTTTCCCCTCCGGATCCACCACTAGTAATTTTCCAGGAAAGCTTAAAAATCACATTCTCAAAGAGGGAGGCAATTCCTTCAGCAAAAATAAGTCTATAACTATCCAACAATTCAAAGTCTGTTTTCGTTTCTATTCACATATTCAGCGAGGGAAATACACGAAAAAGTTGACGTAGGTTTTCTCGAGTGACTCGTTTCATAAAATTTGTCGACATTCCGACTATTCAGTGCCTCGGCACCATGACAAGTATTTTTAATGGCACAAAGATGGAAAA